AAATAAAATTGTTCCTGAATAAACATTTTTAATTAAGTACATGTGCCTTTTATGTACAATAATTATGTTTTTTTTTACTAATTTTGTAATGTTTTAGGTTCGATTTACGTTGTGGCAGCTACAAAAAACCCTAAAATAATTTTCGACAAGAACATGTTCACGATATGTATCAAGTCGTTGGATAAAACAAGATGGCGGTGCACCGCCTACTTTAAAAGTAAATGCAGAGCCAGTCTTTTGACTTATGGGAAATATGTGAACGCTAAATTCAAACATAATCATCCTCCAACAGTGCAAAGCAATGATTTTATTGAAAATGCGATGCGGCAAAAAGTCTATATTTTAAGAAGTGATTAAGTGTTTAAAATAGAAGATGTAAATGTTTTTATTTTTTGTGACTTTAAGTCATTTTATGCTTCCTAGAAGATGTGATCGTGTAATACATAACCAAAGCCAAATTTTATTGTTGTATTGTTTTTTAATGTATTATTCAATAAATAAACAGTTAAACTGCTTGGTGTCTAACTCGTTTTTACCGCTACGTTATTTAATAAAGTTTTGGCGGTAATAAAAATGATTTAATTTAATTTCCTATTTTGCATTTTTCAGATTTGATCTATGTTGCGCCTGGTAAAAAAAATCCGAAGTTAATAGTCGACAGCAATGTTTTTACTGTGTGTACGAAAACGACCGAATCGACAAGATGGCGGTGCACTTCATACTTCAAATGCAAATGTCGGGCAACACTGTCGACATGTGGCAACGTTGTCAAAATAAATCGGGAACATAATCACTCTCCTGTATTAAAGAATGATTCGTTTAATGATTTTATACCACATTTTGTAAGAGTTATAAGAGAATATAACTAGTTTCTTTATTTCACTCTGTGTTTTATTTAATGTTTGTTTTTGTTTCAAAATATTTTGACATTTTGTGTTTTTCAGGAATTATTCATTTCCTTCAAGGCCGCAGTTACAAACATCCTCTCATATTATTAAACGGAAATGAGTTTTTCCTCCACCAGAAGCGACCCAAATCGACAAGATGGCGGTGTCGGGCTTACCATAAAACAAAATGTCGATCGGCTTTGTGCACTACTGGCAAAATTGTGAAAATTTTTAATAGTCACAACCACTCGCCTCTCGCCACTCATCACAACACTGAAGAATTAATAGGGCAATCTGTTTTTATTTTGGAGAAAAAATAAAAAAATCTGATATTTTAATTTGGGTTTTATTTGCGGTCTTTTGTTTTGGACATTTTTTGACACTTGCTATTTGTAGGTGTAATTTATGTAATAAAAGGCTAAAAACATTCACAAATTATTCTGGAAAACCACAATTTTTTTTCATCAAGGAGACAACACTGCAACAAGATAGAGATGTGCACAATATTTCAAAACAAAATGCAAATCGAGACTAACATATTGTGGCAATGTTGTCAAAGTTACTTATTACGATCACCAACCCTTGATTAAATTCACACGTTTTACCACCCGGTTCTAGTGAAACAGTAATTAAAACTGTTAGAATATGAAGTAAGTGATACTTTCCGTCCTGGTTTCTTTTTAATTTTAGGACTGGTATTGAAATATTTTTTTTCAGTGTTTGTGACGTATGTGAAGGGACGAGTTCGAGGTCCACGGATATTTCCCCGACTTATTGTAAACAACTATATCCATATAAAACACCGAAGCACTCAAACAACCACATACTGGAAGTGCATTGATTATGACAGGGGAAATTGCAATGCTAGGTGTTCCACAGATGTCAACCAGACTATACGTATGTCTGGAAAACACACGTGTAATCCAAATACAAAAGACGAAAAATTTAATATCTTAAGTCAAGAGATTTATACTATTAGGCAACACATTGCTACCAAAAAATTGTATCATCATAATTAATTTAAATAAATTCGTTTTCTCAAAAAGTGTTTAAGCTTTGAATCTCTTTTTATTATTTTATGTTTTTAGGCTAAACTTTTACACCTTCTCTTTAAAAATTTATTACACAAAAAGTTGACAGCTAGAAAAATTGTTATTTATTGTATAAGTGTTTTAGATAGCATTTTATCCACGCAAGAATGTTAAACAGAACGCAGTTCGATCGTTTTATTTTCTTGAGTGGATAAAATGCATCTAAAACACGAATGATATACAATGTTTTATCCACAATAATCATTTATTAAATCAGATTTTATCAAAAAAATGATTTGATGTGACAGCAGCTGTAACGACAAAAATTATTGAAAGTAATTTAAAAAATCTTGTGTGAATGATTGCTATTTAATTTCGATTGTTTATCGACTCCATTTGTGAACATTTATAAAGTTCGTGAAAAATGCAAGAAAGCGATTTTGTTTCTGAGCTACTCTCCAATTATTGCCTGCGAAGTCCAGGAAACATTGCGAAAAAGTATATTCCGAATTTAATGAATGGAAAGAAAAAGTAATGAGGCCCTAATATTTTGATACTAGCAACATTTATGACGTCATTTATTTTCGAGTAACCGACATTTTTCATTACTGCTTTAGATATTACACATCGTTATCTTTCTTGGTAAGCATAACAAAATTCAAAAATTAAGCAAAAAGAATAAAATAAAAAAACTTAAAAAAGTTATATATAAAAATTTTCATATTAAGTGTTTATGCTAATTATTTAAATAATAAAATATACAATAAACAATTGCCTCTTATAAAATAAGGCAAGAACAAAAAAATAAAGCTTTTTGTGTTTAATTGTAATATTTATATTTTTTTAATTTTTTTAAATTTATTTTTTAAATAAATGGCCTTAGCCATTGGCGCCCACAGGGGGGCAGTGGGGGCCGTTGCCTTCCCCTAGGACTATGGGAGTTGTTATTTTATATAAAAAAAGATTTTTTTGATCTTTTACAAACTCGTTCGAACTTAAATTTTCATGAACGAAATAAGAAATTACTATTTACATTTTTATCACGAATTGAGTGATATGAAAACAGACAAATGAAACTGTTATTATTAATTTCGACTCTTCTTTTGCCCCCCTTGACCATAATTTCTGCGGACGTCCATGGCCCTTGCGCAAGAATATGATTTAATTATTACCTATTATTAGTATAACGAAAAGGTTATCGTTTGCACAATATTGTTAAATCTTATTTAAAATATTCAAAATTGTCGGTAAACGCGATAGTGGCACCACCACATCCGGTTGACTTGACCGCGTGAGAGGCGCGCGAGGTTTTATTAGTTTATAAGATTTATTCTGTTATCAGGGGCAACACAAGTCGTGGTTCGTTTAAATGTTATAAGTAGGAATGTAACATCAGGTGTGGGATTCACGTGTAGTTTAGTGTTTTTTTGTGTGTGTGTTCTTTATTGCTCTGCGAATTTTAAAATATGACGTCGCGTTGGTCTATTTAGAGTCTAATTAATTTTAGACATTTTATACTTGGAAAGCAGGATTCTCAATTAGAATTAACTTAAACAAATGTTGGTTTTTAATGAAAAGTAGATTTTATTTAGAACGTGAAATATCTGGTGATGGTATACGACCTGATCATCATAAAGTTAAAAAGATATACAGGGTGTCCCACGAGTAATAATGAGCCTGATAAAATTTTTGAAGCAATCAACATTACATTTCATAGATAACGTGGATACTAAAATATTTCGTTTTAATTAGTTAAACATAGTAAATTGGTAAATTGGTGTGTTTTTTATTATTTTAATTGGTTGATTATTTGATGTTGCAACAGTGAAAGTAATTTAATAAAAATTAACATTTTAGCAAAACCTTAAAAAATTCATATCTTCGTTATTATAGAAGACACGGATTTGAAACAAAGACATTATACAGCACTTTAGCAATTAACCGCATTGGTTTTGAATTACATATTTAAAATTCGTAGTGCAGGGCATGTTAGCCTGCTTTATATGCTATCAGCATATCTATACTGGCAATTTTTTTTTCACCCTGTATGAATTTTTGACAACCATTTAAAAATGGTTGTCATCACCAGGAATTTTTTTACAAGTTATTTCATGAAAACCTTTGATATTAACGAAATCAGTGGCGCAGCCAGAAATAGAGTTTAGGGCGGTTTACCTATGTAAAAATTTTCGGGCACTCATTTAAACATCATTTCAAAAAAGACGATGTAGTTTGGGCTTTATTGTTATAACTGTTTTTATGACGGAGGTTTTTAATGACAAGCCAGCATGAATATGCCTGCAGTAATTTTAAAGGTGTTCGGAAAAAGTGCCTTAACAATTTTCATAAAAACTATTTTTTATAAAGTACCTGTTACGTTGCAAATACGCCAAAAATTTTATAAGAAAAATTGTTTAAAATCAACATCTAGGCCTCTATACCAAATTTCAAAATCATCGGGCAACTAAGGTTGTTCATTTTTATCCAAGATAGCTTTTTAGCAATTTAAAAAAAAATATTAGGTCCGTATAATTCCAAAAACCTCGGCTAACTTTGATCTCTCACATTTTTTTATGTTTATTTCCCAAATAAAAGAATTTTATTTGTCACCATTTTTACGACATTTTAGCGGTAATTCGTATTTATTTCCATTTCGAAAGCTTACCTTTTTTAGTTAAATCGATCGATGAAGAAATATTTTGTAAATAGGTCAATGGGTAGTTGAGTTATATTTTGTCTTTAGTATTTTTTGATGGTTATTTATGGTGTGTTTTAACTTTTGAGGGTTCAATTATAATTTTTTGTTTGTTAAAAACTAAATTATTAACTGAGAAATACCTTAAATATGTCTTAAAAAAATATTTGTTAGGTAATTACTGACTTCAAAATAAATTTCTTTCTGACAAACCGATATAAATAATGTTTTAAATGTTAAAGATTTTGTTTTTAAAAAAGACTTGTTGTTGAAAATTTTTTTACGTTTATTTTTTTCGATATAAACATTTTGTTTGTATAGATTTTGGATTTGTATCGAAATTTGTTTTGTCTATATCTGGTATTAACAATGACATCTTTTTTCCAGACTTTCTCATTATGACCAACCAAAGAGGTCAAAATGTCCTAATTTTCGAAGACAACGTCTATCACGTGAACCGCCGTTACGGACATTTCACATTTTGGCAGTGTTCGGAGTACAGAGCTTTTAAATGTAAAAATCGCCTTAAAACTTCAAAAGAAGGCTATATAGAATGCAGCACAGTACCCCACAATCACCCCCCGAGGAAGGACCGAGTGGCCGAAAAAATGTCCAAAATGAATTATTAGGCACACTTAATAAGCAACCAAATATGTGAATAAGGGGTTTTTGATTTGATTCCTGTGTTTAGACGACTTGTGTTTTACTTCCGTTTAATTTCCTCTCAGTACTAATATTACTTTTTTTTCAGGATTTCATTAGTCGAAATAAACCGTGAACCGAATGTTGGGGAAACACTGTTCGTTTAATTATTGATCCATTTGTGTCTTGCGTTTTATGTGATTATTATTAATGAAATAATTTTAATTCGATTTTCAAATTTTGCTACGGCAACGATAATCGTAATTGGGAAATATTGTCAACAAAGTTTGATTGTGAACGAACCACTGTATTATCTGACATTTGATACCTCGCCGGGCGTATTAAAAATTGTGGTCCGTTCACAACATACTCATGGTCACAGCCAACTTAAATAAATACTTTTTATATCTAATCTTAATAATTATTAGTAGGCGATGCTGCAGTCAAAATTTTACCTAGTTTTTGATAAATTAAAGTAAACTACGTTTTCTAATTGCATCCTATAACCAGGACAATGAATTAGAATAAAGGATTGTCCTTTAAAATAAAAGGCGGTTGGTAACCCTAGATGTAACTGAAACCTAGGAGTGAACATAGGGAGGGATGACACAGTGTGGTAAAGGTAATTACAGAAATAATACACAAATATTGAAAGAAAAATAATTGAAAGAAGTACTAAAGGAATACATTTTATATCATTAGAAATTTGCTACTACACAATCAATTTTTGCTTGTATATTTTTAATGTGTATTCTATTTTTGTGTTGGTGTTGGAATTGAACATTTATTGTTTGTTTTTTCTTATTACGAATTAATTACGTTTATCTACGACCATTAAATAATACGTGTTATTTACGTGCACTTGAGAGTAAAAAAAACACAAATTGATTTTTTTTAGAATGTAATTTGGTCTGTTAATAAATGTCAATTTCATAATTGTCAGGCATCTTCCAAGTTTCTATCAAGTTTTTCTATGTTTTTCCATTTTTCCACTTCGTTTTTAACACTGCAAGACCACCAAATAAGACATTTCTTTCGCACATTTGGGAACAACCTTTTTCACACTATGGGAATCTTTTGAAAAATTTGACAATTTTGTTCTTGACAATTTGCGTTTTTTTTGCACTCAAGTACAGTGGCGGAATTAAAATTTCGGGCACTCGGGCAGTATTGTCATTTTTACAATGTAAACTCTAAAACAACCTTTTACATTAATAACCTCATTTTTTACTCTTGTCATTTTGTCTTATCTATTTACTTTCAAAAATAGTGTCACCGACAGAAAAGTTTAATTGTCAAATGTCAGTCATGATGACAGTAAAAGGTAGTTTACAGTGAACTTTTTTAAGTGACAGAAAAATACTGACCGAAATTTTAATTTCGCAACTGTACGACCTAGGTTTAAGTATTATGCTACTCATAAATCACACCCGTGACTATTATAAGTCACTAGTGACTTATCATATCCCACAAATCTGTCATTTTAATAAATATAAATTTTGTGAGTAGAAAGTGTTTTATTAAAAAGCATCGGATGATTTATACACTCGTTTTCGGCTTGTGTATCCTTGAATTATAGCCACCATTACGTGCTCGTTAAATAATATACTATTATACGGCTACATTAAAAAAAAACGGGAAATGAAATTTTTCTAAATGTAAATTTGGTTCAACTTGACAATACGTATCAAAAATATTCCTATCAATGCCGCATTTAAGTGAAGTATGGTAGGAAAATTATGAATTTAGAAATATTTTAACCTCTTTTTAATAAAACACGTTCACACCATGGAAGAATTGAAAAAAAAAACAATTTTTTTTAACATTTTCCATTTTTTTTTTAATGTAGCTGTACCTTTAGTTTTGCATATAATTGTAATTGTTATACGTATTAGTACATATTGCTATTTCATTTAGGTGTTTGTTTTTTTCTTTGTATCGTTTATAATTTATTTTTTGAAGGTTTAGAAGAGCTCTTATGACCAGACTTTACTTTATTGTATTTTTATTTAATAAAGACTATTTTGTACTGTTCTTATTAACTTTAATAAAAATATACTGAAAAAGATGTTGCCTCTGTTAATTTATAAAATTTTGTCAAATTTCCAATTTCTATGAGTGTTGTTTCTTGCAGATAAGCCCACATTTTCCAAAACACGGAGAGGCAAACTGTGTATGATATACAAAGAACACGTTTTTTACAAAAACCAGAAATTGGGGGCACGAATATTTTGGGTTTGTGGACATTATTACAAGACAAAGTGCAAGGTGCGATGTGTCACTGATATGGTAGGGCGGATAATTCGTACGAGTATCTTGCACAACCATCCACCACCAGTTGATAAAATTTTGGGTATTGATAACAAAATGAGACATGCATTACGAGTTTGTAAATTGTAATTAGTTGTGTTGTGTTGAATAAAAAAATGAAACAAACTACGGCGTTGTTTAATTATTTATTTAAACTAGTGTAGTATTCCTCCTCAAGGTCATACAAATCAGCCGCCATGTCGTCCCTCAAAGACATAAGTTTTTGATCACACTCTGCTTGCTTAGTCCTAAAACAACAATCAGACATCTACAGTACTCTCATCGAAAGTCTCACCTGAATAATTTCGAGTTTTGCGTAATTGCTTCATTCACCGATGGAAAATCGTTCAAAATCAAGTACTGTTTGATATCCGAGACAAGTTTCATGAGGGACTCCCCGGCCCGAACAATGTTAGCAGCACGGACGTGCATTTCGAAAGTGTCTTGCTCGCATTGCGTCATTCGGGATAATTGTGTGTCGTGATCGCCTTTGGCCAATTTAACAATTTCTGCAATTAAAAATTAGAGGAAATCCAAGAATTTGGTTAGAATACCTTCGAAATTTTCCAACATGCTTTTCACGTCGTCTTTGAGGCGTGTCCTGTAGGACTTGAGCAGGGCTTCTTTGCTCTGGGGCAGAGCCCGAGGGACAGACATTGTTTACTTTAAAAAAAGTTGAGTAATTGGTGCAAAATGTAAGGTTATGCTTTAGTTGACATTTCTTTACGATGTAATGTCGGTAATGTAGAAATCTATCACAGGGCGCCCTCTCATGACTAATTAGGAAATTTTCAAAATAATTAAATTACTCATTTAAAACTAATAACTCTAATATGAAAAACGTTTTACATAGGACTTTTTAACGTTACTGCAATTATTAATATCATTCTGTGTAAATAAATACAGAATTTGAATAAACAAATTAACCCTCTTTTTTTGGATTTTTTTTGTCGCTTGAAGTTATTTTTAATTAAAGAAATTATATCCTAGTTTTGCCAATTTTCGTCGAAAAACTCTTCTTCTAGTCACAAAGCTGTTTTCCTTTTTGTTGCGGCGAATAGTTAAAGTTTACGACTGCCAAGTTTTGCTAACTTTTCGTTGTTTGTTTTTCATCTTTGCTCTTCTCATTTGTTTAAAACACAGTCTGGAGTTTATCAGACAAATGAGACATGCTTATTATTTGCAGAAAATTTTTATTTACTGTGATATTTTTTCAGATTCTCCACAGTTCTGGACAACACGCAAAGGCAAAGTTTGCATGGTTTATAACAAGAATTTATTTTACATAAATCGGAAAAATGCCATGGGTCGAACATTTTGGATTTGTTATAATTATTTTACGTCGAAATGTCGGGCCCGATGTGTTTCTGATTCTTCAGGGAAATTAATTCGCACAACAATTATTCACAACCATCCGCCACCTCGAGAAAAAATTCATTATTTGGTTTGTTCCAATTTTTCTAGTGTTAGTTTCAATTCTAATAAACTTTGCTAAGTTTTTATTACTCTTTGATTTAAATATGTCTCAGTTTTATTGCTATATGTTGATCGTAAAACAGAAATAAAATAACGAGAGATTTTCAGTTTTAGACACAGTTGTTAGTTTTTATAAGTAATGTAGTTTAGAATCCAATAAAAAACTAATCTTTAAAATTATTGTTTTTTTTTGCGAATCCTTGTCCTTGTATAACACACGGTAAAATAATCGATTGGCGATCTGAAGAAGAAATAAACGATTCCGAAACGTTGTCTTTAAAAATTTCGAAGTTATGAGTTTAAATTTTGCACTTTGACTATATTTATTTCTATTGGAAAAATAATTTTCCAAGTTTTTTTGCTACAGGCTGTATCCTAATGTTATAACATATACCAGGTGAATAAAAAGTATGGAACCAAACGTTTTTTGCTTAAACTATTTATTTTTTGAAAAAAACTAATTGATGAGTGCTAAAGTACTAAAAAAATGTGAGGATTTAACAAGAATAAAAATTTTCGAAATTTTCTTTTATTTTTGAGTTCTACAAAAAAATAATTTTTTTAAATGGCAACCCACTATAAAATCATTTTTCTGATAAAAGCTATACTCTAAAGATTACAACTATCTGCTTTATTTTTAATTTTTTCAAAAAAAATTCGCATAACTCAAAAACAAAACAAAATTTCGTTCTGAAATTGCGATCACATTTTTTATATTACTTTAATTTATATTAATTATTATTTTCCGGAGGCAAATGATTAAAAATAAAACCGCTTGGTTCCATACTTTATATTCACTCTGTATATACAAGATCATCAGTATCATTAAATAGACATAAAAAATCTCAAATTTCATAAAATAAGTGTCAAATTTTTTTTAAACATGTTCCTGGTATCTCATCTTACTTGAAATTTGTCTCTGGGGCGCGATTTCTGACACACCCTGTATTTTTTGTTTAGTTTTGTTATTTATTTTGAATTAATAATAACATAATTACTGAAAACTGGCGCTGTTTATTTATTTAAAGTGCATATAAACACAATCGATTTTAGTGTGTTTGCTGAAAAAATACAAATAGTTTCACATCCCTTGTAACCCACACCTGAAATAAAGTCCATTTATCTCGGAAAGTTTTACTGAAGACGGCCAGATATTGAAATTCACTCCTTTGGGACAACGTGTGCAACAAAACACACTGAAAAAATAACTTTTTTTTACGTAGTGAAGAAAATAATTAAGGGAATTTTTTTATTGACAAACGAAATGTGCGTTGAAAAATTCACTCTAGTTTGCTCCATTTCCGCTCCCAGAACCCAGTCTAAGGTTTTATATTACGTCATAAATAAGTTGTTAGGGTCCATATAGGATATTTTTGAAATGAAGTTATTTAGAAGTTGTGATGTATATTGCGAAAAATGGAGCCATAAAGGAGATACAGTGGCGGAATTTCAAAGCACATAAAAAAAATTCCAATTTAAATAACTTGAAAAATCAGAGTGATTTCCATATAAAATGGTATTAAAATTTAACTCTGACTTTAAACTTATTGTTTTCAATCATTTAACGATATTGTTTCCCTATCTATTATTCAGATTCGTTGAAAAACATTTACCGGGAATGATTGAAATTAATTCGTTATTTAAACCAGACAAGGATGGATTACCCTATGACCTAGTTTTCAATTTGTTGACGTGGACTGAAAAAGACAAATAGATGTCACTTGACAAAATTAAACTTGAAAGAAATTTGGCATAAATACATTAGGAGACGTTAACAATGCTTTGGGACATTTCTAGTATCACTCAGGATATAATTATAAATTTCTAGTTTTTTAGTTTAGTTTTAGTTTTGCCTCGCGTTGACAGCATTCTTTGGTCTAAATCTTCCCTAAACAATAGATTGATCGAAGAGATTATGTCAAACGGTGGAAAATCCCTTTGGTTTCCTCCTGCCGAGCTATGGCAAAGCTTTCCAAAGCTTATCAAATAATTTACAACTTGGCAAAAACAACTTTAAACACTCCACAAGTAACTTTCTTTTTCCGATTACCTTTTAAGAGAATTAATTTATTTGCTTCTCGACTAATGCATTTCCGATCTAAATCGAATTATAACGGCCACTACATTTCACCCCATTTTACTTCCAGATGTAAACATTAAGCAAATAATTTTCTCTTTTTGGGGATGTTTTATTTGTTGGCAGATGAAAACCAGCAAAATACCAACACTGTTTTAGTTTTATCGTGAAAGATATTTTAAATTCTAAACGCCCCGATATATTGCAGCTTATATCACTGATGCTGTGACAGGGATAATAATAAAATTTATGGATGCGGCCTCGATCAACTATTTAAGGGGAGTGCTTTGAACGTCTTTCTGAATTATAAAACAAAATGGTGAAATGTTAATAAGATTTTTGATCAAATTTTAAATTGATCGCAAAACCAGAAACTCAAAATAGTCATAAAATTTTTAGCTCTGGTGTGTCAAAATTTTGCATTTTTTCCATGGAACCATACTTGTTGATGTCGATTTTTGATTGTTTTGTGGATGATATTTAAGTTTTTGAGTATTTCAAAGACTTGAAAGACTTTGGAAATTGAACTACAGAAATAGTATTACAAGTATCAAAATCTATAGGCAGAATTATATCTTTGATTTATTCAGTATTTTTATTTCCTTAAAAAATTTGCATATTTTGCTGTCAGGGGTCAAAATCCTAGCTACCTAAACATGAAAAAATAAAATAACCAGATTAAAAAATTATTATTATTTGCCTTTATTTTTTTAATCTTTGTTTTACATTTATTCGTTATCTTACATTAAAAAAAATGACAAACACTTCTTGTAAAATATTAATTATAGTTCTTGACAAATTTATTTATTTTGAAGCAGGAAATAAATATTTTAAAATATAATATGACATTAAATAAGTAAATTATCTATCGAAAACGACAAAACAAAATTATAGAATGTCATATTGAATGGAACAATATTGATTATTTGAAAATTGTTCAGTTTAATCTCTTTTAGTTAAATTCTTGCATAACAAAAGGACGTTAAGCCAAAATAATATGACGAATTCTTACAAAAGAGAGAAGAAAAAATTGTTTGTTTTTAATATATTTTACATAAAACATGTTTTTTATGTTTGCATCGATTTTTATAACTTGGAAATGTCTTGTCTTTTAGAACTTTGATTTTTGATTATTAATAAGCAAAGCTATTCTAAAATTTAGTTATTTTAACAAGTTTAGATTAATGATCTGATTTTTTGAGATAAGTTTCCTAAGTCTAATCCTGTGAACTAAAAGTGGTGTTAATTGCAAAAAAGCTACCAACTTAATAAGAAGAAAAGATTTTGAACACAGATGTAATATTTCCGGGCAGTTAAATCGCTTTGGAAAAACCGGCTTCAATAATTAAAATATTTAAAAATAGTGTTGTAGAATTGTAACTTTGTGTATCACAAAATAAGAAAATATATATACAGGCTGATTCAAATGAAACTACCTGCCTAACAAACTTTAAATACTTACTCACTAGTAATACATTAATCATTCTTGACTTACTTTATAAAAAAAATATTTAACTTGTTATTGTTTGAAGATATTTTTAAAAAGCTTAATACATACATTTTGAATAATTTTTTTGTCGTTTTGGTAATCGTCATTTATTTAAGGTTAAAAACATCATATTTTTGAGTCTGGTGTTGTGTTGATATTGATTTTTTAATGGGTGGGAATTGTGGTTTTATTCGGATTATCTTGTGTTTCTAGAAAAACATTTTTTTATATTTCACTCTGTATTATTTGGCTTCATTAATAAACCAACCATTTTTTGCTCCACATATTTATTTTTAAACTTATCGTGTACATACAGTGTCAGTTAAGTATAATGTGTGGGTTTTGTAATGATACCCCAAATTGACAGTTAGTTAATAATTTATAGTGAAATGGGTTTATTTTTAGCTTTTCCAATAATGTGGGCGATCCTCACTTTATTTGTAGTTCTGACAATTCATATACCTTTTTTTCTGTTTTCCGAAATATTTCTCATTTTATTTGGTTTAAAATAAGTAAAAATAATTTCTCATTTTAAACAAACTTTAAAAAAAAATTCTATAAAAAAATCAAATACTTTTTTGTCTACCATTCTGTACAATTCGTATTTGAGAACAAAACCTATGGACAAAATTAAAACTAAGTTAAATTTGTTAATTTAGTGAAACAATAAGGTACGACAACAATGCAATTTCACGGTGGGGT